GGGGAGAGGAGTGATGCTCCGTGCCCGCTGCGGGGAGGGGAGTGATGCTCCGTGCCCGGGGCTCGCACACGCTGCAGCCTCCCACGGCTGATGCCTCATAATTCACAGAATCGCAGAATAGTTGGGATTGGAAGGCACCTCTGGAGATCATCTAGTCCAACCCCTCTGTCAGGGCAGAGTCAACATAAAACAGGTGACACGGAAACACGTCCAAGTGAGTTTTGAACGTCTCCAGAGAGGAAGACTGCAGGACCTCCCTGGGCAGTCTGTGCCAGTGCTCTGCCACCCTCAATGCAAAGAATTTACTCCTCCTGTTGAGGTGCAACTTACTGTGTTTTATTTTATGGCCACAATGATTCCCAGTACTTTGTATGTTTTGAGAGGTCTGTGGCCCACGTGCACTGTGTGTGCCTTGTTGTTCTCATGTCCCCTTCACATGCATAAGTGCATCCTTTGTCCCTTTCTTTTTGTTCCCTCTGAAGTGGTGGGTTGTGTGCCCAAATGTGTCCTGCTTCCCCATCCTGATAGAGATGGGTTAAGTCCTGGAAAGGTGTGCTATGTCTCTTCCCTACATGCAGGCTGCATAGAGACCACTCTGCCTGTGGATTTGCACCTGAATCAGCTTTGCAATGTCCTCATGGGAATCGAGACTAGTAGGACTGTGAGCTTGGGTGCTCAGGTTGCTGCTTGAAATCCTGACTTGTCAGCACAATTGGGTATTGCCACACTGTGAATAGAAACTCTGCCCAAGTTGTGCAGAGGCCTGAATATGTTAAAAACAGGTGTTTGAGCATAAATCACCATTACAGTTGTGCTGAAGTTTGGGAGCTTGAAAAGACACATCCAGGTTAGGTTGATCAAGTGTTTTTAAGGGGACATGCTGCAAGCAGAGAGCCAATTAGGCTGCAGTGGGTCAGAGGCATTTTTAAGCTAGTGCAAACTGGTAATGAGTTGTGCCAGTGCATACATAATGGCTCTACATTAGTATAGCAAAAATGGGGATGGCCTTGTTATTTGACTACAACTTTTTGAGATGACTTAGGCTTTGTAGGTTTTTTTTTCACTGTTCCTTTAGCAGCAATTTACACTCTCCCTTGCTGGAACATGCACAGAATGTGAGCTACCTTCTCACTTTTCTTGTCAGCTGTTACTGTTTCTCTTCTGAACTAGGTGAACACTAAGGTATGATAGAGGAGAAAAGGTTGTGGTACTTTTCTAATTTGTGCTTACAAGAAGACTCAGCTTTATGTAGTTACCTGTTTGGGATGTTGCATTTTGTATGTTGCAGCACCTCAGAATACATTTGTGTAATGCCCTCTGAGCTTTGCCAGATTGGTAGAATTTGATTTACTCACCATCTGGGGAGCAGGGAAGGTCCTCAAGGTACCCTGAGGGTCTATTATGTTGCATGGTAAGATAAAGCAGAAAAAAGGAGCAGAAAAAAAAAAAAGGTATATGGCATTGTTCATCTTTAACAGTATCTAAGGTGTATGTATGATCTAAGATCCAAGTATGTAAGATCTAAATATGGAGAACTTTATACCATATCTGTTTGTTTATCACAGCTTCTGGTTTTGTCCCATAGATAAATCATTCATGCTAATTAGATCAAATGTGTTAATAAGGAACTTTTTCTGTAATATGAAATAGAAGGAGATGATGTTGGATGATTGCATCTGTCTCTGACACTCAATCCTGTCCATTTGATTTCTCATGAGCCTTGACTATTTCCACACCTGAATCTTCCAAAACCAGTATTTATGCTACCCATTCAGAGGAGTGAGAATGCATATCTTGGCTTTTACTCAGCTTGGACCATATTAATCAAGTTTGGCTTGACCCAATCTTACGAAATCTGGCATGGACTCACTTTTGTAAGGAAGATGTCCTTTCTTTCTTCTGCATTTGGGGTTGATTTAGAAATAGGGTGAAAGCTTTGCCCCTTGCTGTGATAGCTGGGTGTTTTTCATGTTGGCACAGCTTCACTGCTCCTTTTGCTCCACTTCAACACAACCACTACCACCATGAGTGGCTGGAAGGGGACGGAGAGCACAAGTACAGGGAGGTATTGTATGATTCTTTGGAGAAATTGGAAAAAATCGTTACTATGATGCAAGCTACAAATCTGGTAATTTATTTGCTGTTCTTTAGCATATGCCTGCAGCTTGATCTTGTGCATTTGAGGAGAAAGAAAATGGGGAGGGGAAATGTGAGCAAACAAGAATACATGTTGCTGAAGATGTGACATGCTGGAACTTCACATAACTTATTTAATGTAAAATTATGCTCATACTTTCAGTGAGTTGTATGGATTGGGGTGATCTTTTTTCCATTTTGTCTGTGGGAATTGAATTATGATAAATGAGTTATCAGTGCTATTCAGTTATTGCTAGATTTTATTAACATCCTGTTTTATATCTTCTAGTTGAAAGTCATTGCTATCGATGAACATCTGAGAGTCATTTATGAGGATAATGTTCATTTTGATAAGGACCTTCCAGAATTTAAGTAAGATTTTTTATATTTTACCTGGATAATGTAATTTAAAACTTTGGAGATTGGGGTGAGGGAACTGTTGCCCTATTTGGTCTCATTGATATGTGTGGAGTCATGGAAAAAGTTCGTGCCATGGTCATGTTTCATACTTGGCAAGGGTACTATGTGCTCTTGCCTTCCTTGTGTGTAAATATGACAAGAGCTCTCAACAGAAAATAAATTAAGAAAATATACCCCAAAATGTGGTTTTTTTTTTTTTCTTTTGGGATGCAGACTTGTGGATCTGACTGTTTCTTTTTGGGACATGGAAGTGAGCACTGCCTTTATGTCAGGGTGGAATGATCTCATAACAGCAAGGAAATTACATGAGGGGAACTTCTGAAAGACATTTGGTGACAAATTTCAGTGATTCCTCATCTCACAATAAGATGTAGGATGACAGTATTTGTTTTTGTCAGCAATAGACAGGAATTGACAAATGTCATCCTCCAGTCACAAGCTTCACTGAAGTGCAGTTATTTACTTGATGGTTTAACAGCAAAAATTGAACTCCGAGAGTCAAGTCAGTAATGGTGATAGAAGTAACTATGAATTACATGAGGCAATGAGCAAGATTGGCTCTGGAGTCTATCACAGATCTTACTTCAGGATCAGAGCCTTTCCTCAAAAATTATTTACTTTGCAATTGAGTCAAACATGTCACCTCCTAGAATCTATCTTTTACTTTTTCAGGTTTCAAACACTGGTCCTTGCTCTTAACATAAAAGCATTGCAAATTGTCTCTGGTCATTAATAAACCTGAAGAACTTTGCTTGGCAGGGAAAAAATTGCTGAATTTACCAAGAGAAAATCATGTTTTTCTGTAGGACTCAAGGTGGAGTCTATATTCACAGTGACAGGCTGACAGTCACTTCTCCTGTGCTAATGTGGGTCAAGGTATGAACAAGCTCTATATAGTTCAACTTCTTCCTTGCTGTTGCAGAACTGGAAATGTATTCTGAGCAATAGTGAAATTCATCAACAATTCATTCAAATCAACATAGTCCTTTTGCTTATATTTTGTTTCTTTTAAGTGTGGTCCTGTGTCTTTGGTATGCAAATATTAATGCTACCAGCAAACATAGTGTAAGTTTCTACTATTTGATTGTTTTATTTGTTTGTTTCTTCACTTTCTGCTATTATGGCATTTTATGTGTGAGAAATTATTTGCTGACTTTCCCTCATTTGAAAAAATCATTCTTTTTTTCTTCTTTTTCCTGTTTCATGCACAAGAAGGGCAGCTGTCCCTTTGTCTATCTTAAATATGTGGGTTTGTAGTATTCAGACTACTCAAACTATATTTTTTTTTTAGAATAAGCTTTGCTAACCAACTGATGTCATTTTTCTGTTTTGAAAGAAGGCCTTCCTTGCTTCTATGCAGATTCTGCAGCACTTGCTATGCTTACATGTCACTACAGAAATTTGTCATACTAGTGGGATTTAAATAGTTAAGATATTTGAAAGGTCACAGAACCTCCAGCTGGTGATCCACAGTAGTTGACAAAGGTTTGGTAAATTTGCTTGCAGTTGGTCTTTCAAGCCACAATGAAGAGTAATAGTTGTAATTATTAAAATCAATAATATGATGATACAGGTATATGATGTTTTAGAAAATGTGGAAGTCTTGCAGTGGTTCATTTATCAGGATCATCTGGGAAATACAAATCTAAATGGAATTATGTAAAAATAGATTTTTTTTTTTGGGTTTGTTTTAAACTAAGGAAAATGTGGCAGGAACAAAATTAAGCTAGGTGCTTGAAGTGCTAAAATTCACTTGAATTAGCCTTAAATGAAAGAACTTGTGAGTTAGCTGACACTGGAGGAAGTGGTGTTGAGGTTACCTAACGTCTCGTAGGACGAGGTGCAGGGTGCACCCCACTAAGATTTCATAGATTTCCATAAGTAAAAACAGACAAAGATAATCCTGCTTTGTGTCTGGCACTCTTAAAAGTGGCTTTTTAATAAATTCTTTAACTCTTGCCTCTTATTTAGGTTTCAAAGAATAGATCTCTGTGATTCAGCTTCTTCAAAGGTCTTTTTTCTTTCCTTTGTATGACTCAACTTTTCTTTTGTGGTCTCTTACTTAGTAAATTTTTTTATGCAGCTTCTTGAGCAGTCCATAGTCATTAACTAATTTTTCATTATCTGCCAATGAACTCTTATCAGTGATGACATGAATTTACTGTTTAATTGCAGATTGTGAGTATGCATAATTTGATAGCTTGTTAGAGTGATTCTTGATTCTGGTTTTTTATCATAGGCCCTGGATATGATCTTGGAAAAAATGAAGTCTTCAGGCTTTAACTTCTCTCAAGTCAGAGCTTTGTCTGGTGCTGGCCAGGTCAGTTTCTAAAGAAAAATTCAATCTTACTATCTTTATTCGGTAGTGTATAAGGTAGAGTAATAAATTTAAATAATTGTATTGCAGAAGGTCATAATAGTATAAAGTAAGATCAAAACTTCTCTGTAAGGATCCATAGACACATTCCTCAGAGGAGCTTGAAACCTGAAGCACACAAAGCAATCACTAGACCATAGTGGGAGTAGAGGATGAGCTTTACAGTGCAGTTTAGATAAGTATAGTGACTTGGTTTCCTGTTGTTTTAATTCCTTGTACATACAGATTCTGAAATGTCTGGGATGATTTTGAATTTCAGCAGATTCAGGTACTTGTGGAAATGGGGTAGAAAAAACAATGAGGCACAGTTTGCTAAAAGCATAGTATCATCCTGTTAAGCAGTTTTTCTTGGCTAGAATAGAGGTCTGCCTAGAAGCAAGAAAACCCAAATGGTGTTAGTCTTTGATGCAGAAATGCCAAAGATGCTGCTGTGATTTAGCCTGTAGTGCATAATGCTTTTTTTTGAGATTATAAAACCCACCCTGACATTTAGTCAGCTAGCCAGTCTCCTTAGTTTTCTGGTGTAACAACACTTCACAGAGGATATTCAGGGTGAGGACAGCACCAAAGTGATAGCTGATTCTGACATGCAAAGTTTAGGTTATTCATCTTCATCTATCTGGGACTAATTAATCAAAACTCTTGCTTTGATCTCCATGTTTCATTGATTGCAGTTGAAAGTCTGAGCAAAGTGTGTGAAAATCATAGATAGTATCAAGGCTCTGTTATGAATTCTTCAGTGGAACAGAAGTTAGGGTCTGCCAAGTAACACCAGTGTACTCAGTGAAAAAAGAAAGTGTATTTCCAGGTTGCTTGCATTCCCTTTATTTTACCCACACTCCAACAAGGTGGGCAGGTCTGTATCAGGGGATAGTGCTGAAATACCATAGAACTAAATCTTGCCTGTGGAGCCCTGGCTACAGCTCAAAGAGCTCTCAAAGGAGTATCTAATGCCATTAGCAGTACAGTAATAGCTCCCACTAGAAGTTGCTGTAGTTGAAAATAATATTCCTGTTTAGTGCCTGCTTTGCTCAATCTTAGAGTCTTTTAATGAGGCACTTGATTTGAAAAGGTGCATTTTTTGGTCCTAGTTTGGAGAGACTTCTTGTCTCCTTTAGAATTTAAAACTCAGATCAGGATGTGAAACTTGAAGCCTGGTAGGACATCTCCAACTTCTGTTTCTGTATTTCCTACAGCAACATGGGAGTGTGTACTGGAAAAAAGGAAGCCTCCAAATTTTAAAGAATGCATCATCTGAACTGCCTTTACACCAATTGCTAAAGGTAATGTGCACAAAAGCTCTGGAGGAGAGCTACACTGTCCTGTTCCTGATTCTTAGACATTGCTTTTCTCCTTGCAAACCTTTCCTGTTGTTTGGCTGAGTTGTGTACCCCAGCAGCATAAGGTGAAGTGTACTAGCTATTCCTTCAGCTCTAGGGCTTTTAACATTTCCTTTTCTCCTGAGTGACAGTATATACTGCTTTCAAAGCTTACAGGTGCCAGTGGGCATCCCAGAATCTTTCTGTGTCAGAGGAGCAGCTTGTTTGTTCTTTTAGGAAATGTAATATTTTTGTAAATAACCTGTAAATATTTTACATTTTTAATATATTTGTATTAACAAAGTATTGTAGTGAAAAAGGCTATTGTACCTGAATTTCCTTGCAGTGCTTGAGATTTCATTAGAAAATTTATATATTAAAAAATCCCAGTTTACACTTACCTCTGAAAGGATGGAAGTGTAATTCTGTGTGGACTTAAACACCTAAGCAAGTACCTTGTGAACCTCAACATTTCATATGCTTGTGATTGGTAAGTTTTCAACATGGACTTAACAAGCTTTTATTTAAAAAGAAAAATAGGGAGGAATCAACTTTCCTCTGGAAGATTCTTACCTTCCTTACTTCAAGATCAGAAAGGACAGTTGTATGTTGATAGGGATTTTGTGTCCTTGGTTTATTAAATCATCAGTTTGGGAACTATCTCTTCTGTGCAAAACTCATGGAAATGGAACGAAAATGCTCTCTGATGTACTAAGCCATTGTATTTCCAAATGGTTATGCCAGTCACTAGAGTTGTGGAAAGATAATCTGATTGTTTGGACAGGAGTTCTAAAATGGCCTAGGGCTTTGGCTGCCAGGAAGGAAACCTCATGCTGCAGAGTCTGTGAAGTAACAGCAGAAGCAGCTTGTTGCTTCCCTCTAATGCAAAGTTTGTGTTGAACTTTTCACTACTGACCAACATCCTGCCCAATATCTGATTTCTGTATTTTTATTATTCTAGCAGGGACTTCTCAGAGATCAGACTTAACATTAAAGGACACTGTTCATTGCAGGGTTGTTTTTCAGTCAGTAACAGTCCCATCTGGATGGATTCCAGCACAACTTCCCAGTGTGGTATGCTGGAGAAAGCCGTGGGGGGAGCCCAGCACCTGGCAAGGATCACTGGTTCCCGGGCATATGAGGTAAGGAGTAGGTGGGGGGAAAGTCCTCAGCAGAGTCTTGTGATAGGAACAGTTCTGCCATTACAGGGTACCACAGCAGATGGTAATCTGCCATTAACTGTGAGAGTTTTTGAAGAAATTCCAACCATAGTGTGCTTTGCAATAGTCTCACAAAGGAAGATGTGGAAATTTTAAAGTGAAATTAGGGAAACACTGGAAATTTTACTGCAAGAGGCAGTTGGATTGAACATTTGGCCAGTGGTTCTGAAATACAGTGTTTGGTGGCCGTGCTTACAGTCTCAGGGCCTGGTTCTCTCTTTGGAGCTCCTGTGCAGCCACATTTCCATTGGGCTGACAATCCAGTTTGTGTTACAGATTTATTTGGGGTAAATCCATCCACCTGTTCGTGGATCACTGCTCTAGGTTACTTCTACAATTAAAATATTAGCCTTTTAATATTACTTGAAGGCTAAAAAAGCAGCTGTTGACCTAAAGGAAATCTTTCAGAAGTTTAGGATGCGGTAGAGAGTACACTGTCACTTGTCTCCTCTTCCTGATGCTTCACTCTTCTGTAACTGTGACAATGAGTTACAGAGTGGGAGCAGGGCTGCCTGCCAGGCATCTCAGCACCTGGCTACATGTAATGTTGATTCAACAACATAAGGCTTTAACCTCCCAAAATGATGATTCTGCTTTTGAATCATCATGCAAGGTTTATGACCACTGTTGAGGTAAGACTTTGCATATCACTAGCAGTTTATTTTTAGCTTGCTAAATGTTAAGGTGTCAGTTTTAGAAGGTTTATTTGATTATTTGATATAAGAATAGTTTTTCTCACAGGTGTTATTAGTCTGTGCTGGAGTTACTGCTTTGAGTCTGAAATGTCCTGCTTTGCTCCCATTTCACCTGCCTTACAGGCAGGTCCATAGATTGTGTAGCTTAAACCTTTTCAGGGATTTGAAGGTAGCATTTGAATTGTGCTAGTTCCAGTGCACAGGATAAGTGTGATTCATTCCATTGAACTGTCATTTCTGAAATGTAAATTATGGATAGTAATGCTTTTTCACATGCTTTTTTTTTTCAAAAGGTGAACAAAATTCTCATAATGAGACTATGTGTTATACCCCGTTTAGTGCAGATTGCCTGCTGTGCACTGACTTTTATCATGCATCAGGCAAATTAAATATCCAAAGTGCAATGTACTGAACTCATTACACAGAGTTAATGATTATTGACTCCATTTAGGTTTGTGTTTCTAAGCATTTGCATTTCTTTCTCAGCGTTTTACAGGAAACCAGATAGCAAAGATTTACAGCCAGAATCCTGAGGTCTACAAGCAAACTGAGGTTGGCTCAACTTCAATACCCTTATTGGAAAACACAGTTGAAAATCTTTTAAAATTAATTCTGTGGGGATGTTTCTACAGACTTTTTTACTAAAGGATATCTTGATTATTCCATTTAAATTTAAGTTTAAAATCAAAATTTTTATTATTTTATTTCTTGTTTCGTTAAATTGTTAGTAGTTAGACAGAAAAAATCAGACATCAGTTCTATTTTGAATATTTGTTAAACTGGTGAATAGAGCTTTAAACTGGGGTTTCTGGGGGAGGAGAACCTTAATCTATCCCACTCCTACCAGTTTGATGCCAGTGCCAGCAATAGATGCCCAGAGCCTGGAGAGGGGTCACAGGTCAGCAGGAGCAGAAGAGCAATACCAGCCAGTAAGTCACCTTTATTGGGGCCCCATCTTAAATGCCTCTGTGCAAATGCATGGAACATGGGGAATAAACCAGAGGAGATAGAGGCATAGAGGCATGTGCACCCCTGCAGGGCTATGATCCTGTTGGCATCATGAAGACATGGTGGGATGGCTCATGTATCTGGAGTGTTGGAATGGCAAGATGCAGGCTCTTGGAAACGGGTTAATATTTAAGAATCACCTCCTCCAAGCTCCAAAGTGATGTATCCCAAAAAAAAGTAAGTCAGGCAAAACCACCAGAAGGCCTGTGCAAATGCACAACAAAGTCAAACACAAAAAGAAAGCCTCCAGAGGGTGGAAGCAAGGCAAAGTAGCCTGGAAGGAACACAGATTTGTCTGAGCAGCCAGGAATCAGGTTAGGAAAGCTAAAATTAAAAAGACAAAATTAAATCTGAAGAAAAGCTACCTGAAGAAAAGCTTCTATAGGTATGTTGTTGATTAAAGGAAGACTTGGAAAAATGTAAGCCCTCTCTGAAAGAAAAGACCTGGTTACCCAGGCTATGAAGAAGACCTTGTATTCAATTACTTCTTTGCCTTGGTCTTCACTGAAGGCAGGAGCTCCAGCCACACCACCTGAGTCACAGAAGGCAAAGGCAATGACTGGGACAATGAAGAACCACCCAGTGAAGATCAGCTTCAAGACCATCTAAGGAACCTGAAGATGTGCAAATCCATGAGACCTAATGAGGTGTATCCACAGGTCCTGAGGGAATTGGTGGATGGAGTGGCTATTTGAGAAGTTGTCACAGTCCAGTGAAGTTTCCACTGACTAGAAAAGGGGACATATAGAGCCCATTTTTAAAAAGGAAAATATAGAAGAGCCAGGAGACTACAGGCTGGTCAGTTTTACCTCTGTGCCTGGCAAGGTCATGGAGCAGATCGTCCTGGAAACTGCTAAGGCACAATTGGAAAATAAAGAGGTGATTGGTGACAGACAATATGCCTTCACTAAAGGCAAATCGTGCCTGATGAATTTGGTGCTTTCTATAGTTGGGTTTCAGAGCTGGTGGAGGAGGGAAAAGCAATGGATGTCACCTATCTGGACTTGTGCAAAATATTAGACACTGTCCTACACAACATCCTTGTCTCTGAACCGGAGAGACATTGATTCGATGTTGGGACACTCAGTGGTTAAGGAATTAGCTGGATGGCCACACTCAGAGAGTTGGGATCAATGGCTCAATGTCCCAGTGGAGACCAGTGATGACTGTTGTTCCTCAGGGGTTTGTATTGTGAGTGGTGCTGTTTAATGTCTTTGTCATGACATGGGCAGTGGGATTGAGTGCACCCTCAGCAGGTTTGCTGACGACACCAAACTGTGTGGTGCAGTCAACAGGCTGAAGCAAAGGGATTCCATCCACAGGGACCCTGACAGACCTGAGAGATGGAACTGTGCACCTCATGAAGTTCGACAAGGCCAAGTGCCTTCCATTTTCCACTGAGGAATTACTTTGATTCTGTTATTACAAATTAATTGCGTTGTGTTGTTGCTTTCCTTTTGACTTTTAATTTTCAGAAATCGACTTGCAATTCCATTACTGTTTCAGTTTGCTGAATCTTCATTTAGCTGTGACTGAAATGCCATGGTTTGAAGCAAGGTGAAAACTCAATGGAAAAATGATGTAAATGAGAGGAGAACTCCTGTCCTATGATTAGAATAGGCCAAAAATCCAGACCTGTGAAGCCAGGCTGCTTCTGGCTTTGTGTTACTGCAGTTTTTGATAGCATTAATCATATTTTTGTTTGTTAGTTTGTTTGTTTTTAAAAATCTCACCCCTACATGAAGCAGTTAATTTCAGGAGAAAGTGAGTTGCAAAGTTGACTCTGTATTTTGTGGGAGAATGCTTAATTTTTAATATTTCTTTCTTTTTTACTACATTCTCATTGTATAAACTTTGCACTAGTAAGGATGAAACAGAACATTAATACATTCTGATCAAAAGAGACTAAATTTAGAGAAAGACATTAATGGGGGAAGTGGGTCTGTGGAACTGAGAACTAGTCAGACCAATTTCAGACTCTGAGGGCTGGTTGCACTGATGGCACCTTTTAGCAATAAAGCTTATGCAAGATGTTGTGTTCAAACACAAAATATCTCTCTGCCAGAGTTGCTGTCGGAGCCCCTCAAGAAGCACTTAGCAGCTTGGCACTCTCAATGACATGTGGAAGGTGGATGTTTTTCCTCCTGTAGGTCAGCTTGTTAAACTGGCTGATTCACAGTTTAACTTCATCCTTTTTCCTTCCATTTCAGGCAGCTAGTGCCCACTGGGGCACCACAGAAGGTAGGCCTTCATTATCTGAGCACAATGTGATATATTCTTGGGGAGAGATGCACGAAGAGCCAAGTGCATCATTAAATTTCCTGGCCATTATAACCACCTCTTAGAGCTCTGGCTGTAGGCTGCCCTTCAATGCTGTGTGAAGCAGTGGTTTTGTGATCATTAATAAAAAACCTGTCACTGCTGGCTCACTCAACCGGTAGAGATTTGATTCTGATTAGTTATTGGGTGACGATCATATTTCTTCTGAACTAGTCATAGCACAGAATAAGGAATTTGTCAGCTTTTGTGCTAGCTTCTTGGGAACAGATAATACTTGATCATGCAGAAAGCTTGGTGGTAGCCAGTTAATTTGGTAGATCACATAGGAGATGTGAAGTGGAAGCAAGTCCCATGTTGGATCATTGCATTGTGTTATATGGCTGGGACATTTTTTGGCCTGTATTAGAAGCCTTGCAGCTGGATTAATGCAGTTGGAATGTACCCTGAGGCAGAGCTGCAGGTAGTGGTTCAGTTCAAAGATGATTGTTACCAGCTCCTGGGAGTAACTCTTGGGAGGTCTGGGGTCTCAGCTGGGGGGTAGGCAAGGGTTCACATAAAGGTGCTAACAGAGCCTTGCCAGAGCTTCTAAAAAAGCTTACAGACCTGTGCTCTGGGTGGACCAGAGCATGATTTCTGGGCATTTCCCTGTCATCAACACACAGGTGGTTTTGTGTTTTGTTTTGATTTGGTTTTGTCTTTTTTTACTTAGAAATGAGATTCTGTGGTACACTGAAGCTGTGAATTAATTCATGATAACATAGAATATGCTAATGTACTAGGTGTATTTTGCATGTTTCAGTATGCAAAGCTATTAACAGCTTTTATCATGGGGTTACTTTTAGATTGATATCTGCTGTATTACTGAGACAGATGGAACTGAATAATCCTTCCAGGTGTATTTTTGTGTGCTTTCTGTGCCTAACATTAAGCATCTATTAACATTTGCTGCTTCCAATTACTTTGTTATTTACTTTCTTTGAAGTGAATACTGATGTGACTCTCAATTTTTCTTGCAGAGAATCTCTTTGGTTAGTAGCTTTGCAGCTTCCCTTTTCCTAGGAGCTTATGCACCCATTGATTACAGTGATGGTAAGTGTGTGTGCTCTTGTAGTAACAATTTAACAAGGAAATGTTCCTTTTCAACTCCTTCTTACATAAAAGTGGGAGTGACAAGGTCAAAAGGAGGGGGATGACCACATGGTCTCTGCTATTTGTTTTCAGTCTTTAAACTTTAATGACAAGTATATTACATTTTAAGCTAAGTTACTTCTTTCAGTTTGTTGCTACTTTTGATAGTCCTGTCAGCTGTGCCTATTTATCCTCATCATACTATGATTCCCACTTCTATAAAATGAATCCACACAAGAGATTCTTAAATGCAATTGTACTTTTTTTTCATTATTTTATGATGTGTAAAGGAATGTTGAAATATCTTTTGATTGCATCAAGAAGTTGTGGATTTTAAAGCTAGACCTCAGAGTTCTGGTATTTGTTCTTTGGTTTTGCTGGCTTAGCTCAGAGTTGCACAGGATGTGAACATGATGTATACATATTGTGATTAATTTTTCTCCACCTAACCAGAGGATGGATCTATAACAGAAGTATATTTTCAAAATGAGCCAGGGAAAAATGGCACAAACAAAGAAAAAAAAATCCAACCCAGTTAAGAAAAAAAAATCTTCCACATCTCTCTATTCATCATAACAAAAACAGAAAAGTGACAAGGCCACTGTTTCTCTTTTCTGTTGTGTGCTATCTCAGTTATCCAGCTTTTAAATGGCAATTTTAAAATGGCAATTATAAAGAAAACCATTTTCCTGGGAGCTGTCCTGTTATTTCTAAATAGCATTTTTGATTCCTTCTCTGAAACTTAGAGAAGGTATATTTCAGAGCTGAAAGGTTAGATAACAAGGGTCTCTAAGGAATTTTTGCATTATAGAGCCATAGTTGACACCCATGTGTTAAGACCAACTCATTTTTTCTCCTTTGTTGTTCCATCAAAGCTCATAGGAAAAGGCAAGACACCTCAATTTTAGCTAATGGACAACTTATTTGATACCAGATCTTCTAGTTATACTTGAGACCTTTAAAACTGCAAGGCAATCCATGTTTGTTGTGCAGCAGTTATGACATTATTACATCTGTCTTCTGGTCCTGTTCTGTTAGCCAGGTATTTTCACAGCTGAGTTTTATTGTTTGTGTCTATTTTTGACAACAATAACTCTTTGGAGATTTGCACTTTGCTCCTCAGCAGGCCCAAATACCAAGTGCTTCAGCTGCTCAGCCACCCACAGAATAGCTCCATGTACTGTATTTCAAAGAGAGCTAGTGACATCTTCAAGGTGCTTTTTCCGGCAAAGAAATATGCTGATTTTTTTTTATTATTTTTTCAATGAGAATAAGGTGTTAATTTTGAGACAAGTGTTTAAAATGATAAGCAGTAAAGGTATCTTTGGTTTGTGGTTGGTATTTTTTTAGGTTTTGTTTGGTTTTGAGGTTTTTTGGTTGTTGTTTCTTCTTCTATTTCGTAATGTTACTTTTCCTGTTCTACTTGGAAGCCAGTGGTGAAAAGCTGTGCTTCTTCAATTTCAGAACAGAAAAATTTCAATGTTTGATTGAAAACCAAAGCATTTTAAACTAAGAAAGGAAAATAAAATTTGCTTAATTGAAAAATGCAATGCGTTTTCTAAGAAAATTTTCCAAACAGCTCTGGCAAAGCTTGTTCTGTTACACCTCTGGATATTTATGGAACTTGAATAAATGTTATCTGCTGTTCAGAGCTTATCTGCTGTTCAGAGCATGTAAGATTATTAAATCTTTGTATGAAAAAAGAAAAGAGAACTAAGCAGGATGTTGCAGTCCTCTTTACAAGACAAAAGATTTTTTTGGCATTGTAAGCTGTATTTTGCCTCATTCATTCCTTTCTTCTGTTAATATAATGAGAGGGAATTCTAATTCCAGTAATAAAGTATAAGTATAGTGTATGCAGTAGTTATTTGGATCCAGCTGAAAAACGTGTTTTCTTGTCATTTATGATTTCTTGCAATTCACTTGATCTGTTACGTTGCACCTGTGTATTGTAGTTTAAAATGCATCTCTCAAAGTAATGTTCAGATAATAGACCTATTCTTCATTTCTGTAGGTTTAACTTCAGGTCATATCGTCTTTAAAAGACCCTGTCAAATTGTTTAGCTCTACACAATAACTTATCTCTCTAAATTTGCAGGTTATTGTAGGAAATGTGCTATTCAGTTTCAGGATTTTTTCCTTTTCTTCTTAAAGGTCCAATCTCATAAGGTTCAAATCACTCCTTGTGAATGGCTAAGCACCTTGGGTGATTGCTGTAAAAAAATGAAATTACATTCTAGTGGAATGAAGGATGATTTTCATTTATATTGTGCAGATGTTAAAAGTAAGATACATTTGGGACCTAAACAACTTGAACACTTGAGGCATTGTTTCTTTTAGAAGACACCTTAAAGAACAGCAATTCAGCTCTTGACCTAGAGAAGCTTTATCTTTTGAAATGCTTTTCTAAGAGCCTTAGGCAAATCGTAGCTTAGCATACTTGGTTTTTGTTGTTGTATCAAAAAAGGATGTGTTGAACTGAAGCCTTTTCAAAAGGAGCATTGTGGGCTGAATTTACTCCTAGTGTAGCTTGTGTGGTGTCAGCAGTTACACTGCTCCTGGTTTAGCTCACTGAAAAGGCAATCTGGAGGGCGGTAAAACAGATGCACTTAACTGCTTATAAACGTATGCAAATATTGATCTTTACTTCGGTGATTAATAAAACTAGTTAGTCTACATCATTTGGTCTTTGAAATGAATGTGTTTGTATTCCTTCCCTACCCCCAAGTGTTCAAGGACTTCCACTTTTGTATTGTAGTAAGTATTAGCAGGTCCTAATTGTACTTCTGGACATTTTATGCTAAAAGTCAGTGATTGCAGTGAAGTACAGAATCCTGTTAATCCACGTATTGACCCTTTCCTCAGTCCTTACTAGACTATGGCCTTGGCTATTGATCTTCACAACTGATGGGGTGTCAATTTAGAGTGACAAGTCGAAGGGCTGCCTTTGAGTTTTGGCTTTGCTTTTTTTTTTTTTTTTTCTCCCTTTAGTTCTCAGATTATTACTGATTTTATATGTTAAACTTTGTGGTATAGATCATGACCAAAGGTGCTAGAGTTAGGAACTGGGTGTGCATCCCATTTTAAAGCCATTCCCCCCTGTCCTGTCACTACATGCTCTTGTAAATAGTCCCTCTCCATCTTTCTGTAGACTCCTTTCAGGTACTGGAAGGCTGTAGTTATATTCCCCTGGAGCCTTCTTTTCTCCAGGCTGAACAGCACCAACTCTCTGCTGTCTCCATAGCAGAGGTGCTCCAGCCATCTGATCATCTTTGTGGCCTCCCCTGGACTCACTCCAGCAGTATCCTCCTTGTATAATCAAAGGAACATTCAGCTCTGGTTTTTATTTTTCACTGACTAGGGATTCCCATGCCCACAGCATTCATCCTGGATAGAATGAATCCAGGCCAACAGGTTAATAGTTCTTGTAAAATAGTTGTTTCACATCTTTTAAATGAATTTCTGAGGGTTGGGTAAATTAGCTCATCTTGCTTTTCTCAGGGCATATTAAAGTCTTTATGCCTCTATATCTGCCAGTCAATAACTGAAGTGTTGTTTCAGTATAATACAAACTTTCAGTTACAAAGGTTAGTAGTTTTCCTGTTTTATGCAGGGCAGATTGGAGACTGCCCTTACGTCTTGCAAAATTGCATTGGAGGATCAAGGGCAACAAAGATGATTAAGGGCTTGGAACACCTCACTTATGAGGAAAGGCTGAGGGAGCTGGGCCTGTTCAGCCTTGAGAAGAGAGAGGATCTCATTAATGTATACAATTATCTAAAGGGGGTTGCCAAGAAGATGGAGCTAGGCTTTTCTCAGTGGTGCCAACCAGAAAAACAAGAGGTAATGGACAGAAACTGGTGCACAGATCATTCCACCTGAATATGAGGAAGAACTTTACTGTGCACTGGAACAGATTGCCCGGAGAGGTCATGAATTCTCCCTCACTGGAGGTATTGCAGAACTGTCTGGATGCAATCCTGAGCCTTGTGCTCCAGGATGACCCTGGCTGAATAGGAAGGTTGGACCAGATGACCCATTGTGGTCCCTTCCAACCTCACCCATTCTGTGAGGATACTGGTTCTCTAGGTTTGTGGGGTGGGGAGCAATAATTTTTTTAAAAAAAATCCACAGGAAACAACAGCAAATGTTTCTCTAGTAAGATTCCTATTTATTTAAAGATTCTATTCCTCACTGAAAAATTTAATTTAGTGAAGGGCTTCTTGACCTTTTAAATTATGGATGTTTCCAGGAAAATTCAAAGGTCTGTGTATTTCCTCACAGAAAGCCTTGTTATGCCTGAAAGGATGGAACACATGTCTGCTCACACCCTCTGCCTCGGGGAAATGCAGACAGTGGCACTGAGCTGAGTTTCCTCTGGCAGGACTCAGTTTACCCCTGGAGGGAGGGGGACAGCTAGATTTAAGAGTGATCTCCCTTAGTGAACTGTGAGAACCTGGAGTGAATATTGCCATCCTTCCTTTTCTGTGGGTGGTGCTGGTGGATGAGACTCTGGACGTGAGCCAGCAATGTGCACTGGCAGCCCAGAAAGCCAATCCTGGCCTGAGCTGCCTCACAAGAGTGAGGGCAGTAGGTGAGGGAGGGGATTCTGTCCCTCTGTTCTGCTCTGGTGAGACCACACCTGGAGTGCTGCATCCGACTCTGAGGTCCTCAACATCAGATGGATGTGGATCTGCTGGAGTGTGTCCAGAGGAGGCCACAGAGATGATCAGAGAGCTGGAGCAGCTCTGCTATGGAGACAGCAGAGAGTTGGGGTTGTTCAGCCTAGAGAAGAGAAGGCTCTGGGGAAATGCATTTGCAGCCTTCCACTAACTGAAGGCAGCCTACAGAAAGATGGGAGGGACTATTTACAGGAGCATGTAGTGACAGGACAGGGGGGAATGGCTTTAAACTGGGAGTGGGTTTAGATTAGATATTAGAGAGAAATTCTATATTGCGAGGGTGGTGAGACACCGACACAGGTTGCTCACAGAAGCTGTGGCTGCCCCATCCCTGGAAGGGTTTAAGCCCAGGTTGGATGGGGCTTCGAGCAACCTAGTCTGCTGGAAGGTGTCCTTGCCCATGGCTGAGGTGTTGGAATGAGATGACCCTTCCAACCCAGGCCATTCTATGATTCTATGGTAGCTGAAAAGAGAAGTACACCTTTTCCTGTGGGAGGCATGTTGCACTTTGTGTTCTGACAAATCCCTACTGTTACATCACAGGCCAAATAGACCAGTGCATAATTTATTAAGCATGTCTAATTTGCCTGAAGTAGGATTGATTGATTTCAATAAATTTAATTTTATTTTTTAGGTTATTAAGTGTAATCTAAATGTCCTGCTGTTTGGCTTGGGTTGTTCCTCTGTCTCAGCTGGAGTGTGCAACACTTTCTGTTTACAACACTGTGTGGAGCACTAGTTCCAGACCTTGTTGGTGATGCTTAGAATTGGACTGCAGAAATATAAACCTCCTTTATAAATGCTATTAAATTTGTTATTCAGCCTATGTAAAAAAGGCTGCTGAGAGTTGGTAGGTAGGCTCATTTGTGCATGTGTAACCAGCAGTAGTGCATGTGTGTGAAGTGTGTTGCAGGCATGTGCCCTTCTGCAGAATATAAGCACTGCTGGAGCCTTGTGATGTGCTGGGTGAGATGTGGGCAGCATCCTTTCCTTCCTCTGCATCCCAGCATTGCAAGTGTAGTCTTGTTCCACAGATGCTGTGTATGGTGTTAACTTCACTGTCTTTATGATTTAAAAAGCTCTAAGATGTACTGAATGGAAGTAAATTTCAGGCTTTCCACTGTGCTCAACTGAAAATGTGGCTGTGTTTCTGAGATAAATAAGTTGTGGGCTAAACAGTCTTTGAAATGAAAATGCTGTTAATCTAGAATAAGACTACTATGTCCCTGAGCAGCACTAACCAGAAACACATACAGATTTTCAAATCTAATGAAATGTGCAATTACAGGCACCTTAGAAATGTAAGCAAGGGATGTGGAGTGCTCAGTATGTTATGTAGATTTGGCCACTAGGCACCTTTAATTAACTTTTAAACCAGCAATACGACAGTGAGGAAGAAGCAATGAAAAACCAAACCAAAACTGCACAGGCCTTTCTCAGATCTAGTGATAGTTCTGGTGAGGAAATAGGTGACCAAATCAGTTATTTGGGGTTTTGCATCCCATAACTCAATTCACAGAATCTGGACTTGAGAGGTTTGCACACTTGCAGGTGTTGAAAATTTCAGTGGGGCTGTTCAGCATTTCTGAAAATCATAACTTTGGCATTCAAAGATGGACTTCCCAAACTAGCCTCAAAATTAGAGGCTACATTTGAAAATGAAGATTGGTCAGCATGGATTTAGATGTTTATAGGATACTCTACTCGAAGATAGGAGTAGTGTAAAGCCATTCCACCCAGGTGGGAGTACCTTTGTTGTTAGGCCTCTGGTGAGCACAACACACCTTCAAGTGACTTTGCTGCATCACCTTTAGTTAATTGTAGTGAAGTCCTTATCTAAGGTGGAAGATTTAGGGAGGAGTTGATGTGGAGGCATTGATGTTCTTCTTTTTACTCTTAATTTGGGAATAACTGAATTGTTGAGTGCATTGTTCATCAGAGAGGCATTTTCTGCTACCTTTACAGGTGAAAGCTCTCCAGAGGCTGAATTATCAGTATCTGTGCTGAGAAGAGCTGAAACCATTCTCTTTGAATGTAAAATATACATCTGTTTAATTTTATGTAGGTGGAATTTTCTGGTACAGTGCTGTCTTTGTTTAATCCTATACTCTTCCTCTTTTGATCTCTCTTGTAGGTTCTGGTATGAACTTGCTGCAGATTTGGGAAAAGGTATGGTCAAAGTCCTGCCTTGATGCTTGTGCACCTGGATTAGAGGAGAGACTAGGATGCCCTGTACCATCCCATTCAGTCCTGGTATGTACCTGGCTAGAAGAGTTACAAGCAACTACTGAGGCTTTGTGCTGAGAGTTGTGCTAATAGAACCTTCTTGAAATGTATTTGTGTGTGCACAGAGGGTGCACACACAGTTCTCCTCTGAGCTATGCTGCTTGATTTAGTATTTCCAGGTGTGTTGTGAATGTGTATGCCAAAGCAGATACAGACATCTTTGAAAACTATTAGCTGGAATCCATCACAGCTTTTATCTCCTTGGATTCTTGCATGCCCTGGGCTATGATAAGAGAATTTTGGGTAGATGCTCCAATTATAAGAATATCTGGGGTTCCCCCCAAGCCCACAAGCACCCAGTCATTGCAGAACCGTGTGCAGCATTTATTACTGCAGTAACAGAACCCAACATTTGCATTTCTTGACAGAGACCTTGTTTTAAACTGTTTGTAGAGTTAATGAGGTAATCTTTGTGAATAATATGAGATATTTAAAGCTCCGTAGTTCACACAACATAATGGTGAAATCAAATCAAGCCTCACATCTCCTAGAGTAAATGAGTTTAGTCTTACTACGCAGCACAAAAAGAGCTCTTGCTTTAGCTGGTGCACATGTAAGACAGCATAGATACCCATCACCTGTTCCCTCTGAATTCAGTGCTGATCTATAATGGAGAGGAACATATTAAAAATCCTTATAGATGTCCTAGTATTTTTGTGGGTAGTTTTCTACTCCTGTTTTTTTCTTTATGGCTATCAAATGTGGCTTAAAAGGATATGGTTCTTGACCTCTAAAATAATAGGGGTCATATTCCAGCATTTGATGCTGTGATGTATATTAATGTTGTGTTTCCTCTTATGTTTGCATTGAATTTCTAATTTCTATGTATTAATATTCATGTATATGTGCAAAACAGATAGATGTGTTTATGTTACTTGATGTGAATAACTGGAGAAAGACCCAAAGCTAAAATGCTACCATTTACTAGCCTATTTCAGAATTTAATCTGAGGGTATTTTTGTGAGGTTCTTAGCAACAACAACAAGAAAAATTTTTAAAATATTCATTTATCCCTTAAATGCACATGAATTATCATTGTAGCTGCTCTTGGATTTTTCAGTTCTGTCTTACCATGCATTATATCATATGTTTCATACATACATTCCATTTTTTTGAGCTTATTTTCCTCTCTTTCTTTTTTTCCTTAGGGGCCCATTTCTTCATATTATAGTCAGCGTTATGGGTTTAGCCCAGACTGTAAAATAGTAGCATTTACAGGAGACAATCCAGGTGAGATGATTAACTGTGTAAGATTCAGTGAATATGATTATGTATGTACTAAAATTCTATATCAATCTCACTGATTCTCAGATGCTCCCTATACAAAGAAAGAATATGATGTTTATCAGCATCAATACCTCTTTCCAACACCCTTCCATCACTGGTTCTTCTAAAGACAGAGACAGTTTGGATAAGCTGTGTAAGACAAATTAATGCTCTTTTGCCAAGTAATCAGAGGTGAATTCATTTGCCTCTTGATGACTTCAGTTTTGTTTGCCTGCCCCTAAGAAACTATCCTGACTATGAACTGCTAACATTTTAGCTTAGAAAATAGGAATTTAAAAAATGCTGTTGTATCTTTTCAAGTAAAAAGGTAGAGATGGACCTCACTGGCTTTCTCTAAGAATTAGAGCTGTCCTTTTGTCAGACTGATAGATGTCAGTACAAGGGAAGGTGTTAATTTAGGGTCAGGTTTCTGAATCCTAGAGACTGTTTCAGTGTAGAGAAAATTTTTCTGATTCTCAAGACTGTGAAAATAAAACACTTCCCCATATTATAGGAACATATGCAGGTTTGAGTCATGATGGAGGCTTCGTCATGATATATTTTACCTTTGTATTCTGGGAGCTGGGTAACTGCATTTCCCAAAAGTCCAATTTTTTCTTATAGAGATTCAAATGCAGCTTAGTCCAATAAATATATGAATAGGCTAGTGGAAGTGGGAGTGTTACTCCTTTAAAGTGTGTTGTTAAGTAAGGGTCCACTGTATTTAAAATCTGAATACATAAACCATTAGATAATCATGCAGTTCTGTAGTCTTTTGTCTTGAGCATTTTGATTTTGTTAAAAATCACACCCTCACCCAAATGCTTTGCCCATCTTTTATGGTGTATAGGCCAAGGCCATCATGAGCATATTTGCCATTTATATTGTACTTCGAGATGGTGAGTGCAATGTATTATGATGTCTCATACAACAGGCAGTAATTGAGGCAAAGAACAACCTCTTTATCTGATATTCTTTGTGCTTTCAGCATCATTGGCAGGGATGAGACTTCAAGAAGGAGATATTGCAGTAAGTCAAAACACCCTCCTGAAAACTGTCCATATCCTTGAGTACTTGAAATACCTGAAATGTAAATAGCTGTAGGTTATCAGTTAAATGTATCTGTTGGTGTTGATTTTCTGTTTATTGGATTCACACTTGTTTTATTTCTATCAATCTGTAAGCTGCCTGAAAGGTTTTAAATAAACTCTTGTGACTATTGTTAACTAATGCTCCAGACATTAAAACCTAAGTCTCCATCTAGCATGTATTTCACTGGCATGACAGCCTAAGTCAGAGCTAGCTTCAACACGAATCCAATTGACTTAATGTGTAATTTAAAAACAATTAGTGGTAATAACAAATGGTTTTAATTTAATTTCTGTATTGCTTTCCATGCACATTCTGATAACGCTTCAATTATTTCTTTTCCCCTCCAGATTAGCCTTGGCACAAGTGACACATTGTTTCTGTGGATCCAAGAGCCAACTCCTGCCCTAGAAGGTCATATCCTCTGCAATCCAGTTGATTCTCAAACATATATGGCACTTTTATGGTAATATAATTTATTTTTTGTACATCTGGGATCAATAACGTATATTTCTTTCTCCATGTTAGTGTTTTTTATTTCTTTTGCAAAATGATAATGAATAGAACATTCAGCATTCTCTATGGTATATGGCAATCTACTGCTGAAACATTTCCATCAATGTTATAGCATTCCTATTGTTTAATTTGAGTAACTGAAACTGCAGAGTTGTGGAGGATAAATTCTCACGGCAATAAAAAGCTGAAATTATTTTTGCGCATACATAGAGCGAGTTCACTATGAATCTCAGGTAATACATTTAATGTACAGTAATAACAAATCTTCTGAAATAGAATGTGAAATGTCAGAAGCTTGACCAGGGTGTATAACTTCTGTGCTCTTCTAGTGGTCCAGAGGGGATGTAATGGAGTAGGTGAAGATTCTCTTTGCAGAGAGGAGTATAATCAGTGCTGTTCAGGGACATATTAGGCTATGCATGAGGAAAATATTGTGATCTCAAGAAACCCAGCTGAGAGAATGATCCTCATGGTAGCTTTTGGCTGCTGCAATCTGGGAGTTTTCAGCCTCTTGCCAGCCAAGTAGGTGGAAAGGTGGCCTGAAGCTATGTTTGCCCTCACTGAGTCACTGTATTCCGGGTTAAATGTCCAAACCAGGTCATAGTGTTTAGGCAAATATTTGCAAGTAATATACAGATAAATTTTTTGTCTGAATCCCCTGGATTGTAGATGCTTGAAACTCAAAACTTCAGCAAAGCTCAAGTCTGCCCTAGAGCTGTAGTGTTGAGTCTTCCCTGTATGGTAGCAGATGACAGTGTTCATGAAGGTGAGTTAAAAGCACGATGACAATTGCAAGTTACTCATAGTGTGACTTCCCAGTAGGTGTTGGATTTTGTTGTTTTTTTTTTTTTAAAAAATTTACATTCAGGTTTCTCTTTTACCCAATATTTCCCCTACTTTTGCTGTGTAAAATAGCTATATAAACAACCTGCTTGTAATAGGAGGCATTTTTCTGAATACCTGTTATACTGCCATTCTTTTACTGCAGCTTAACATGTGTTTTGGTGGTGGCCTTGGCAATGCTGAGTTAATGGTTCCTGTGCCTCCTCCCTAATAATTTCTGACCTGACACTGCACTAATACCCCTTTATTTCTAGAATATTAGAGTTAATAGAGGACCCTCAGTAGAAAAAGTGTGTGAGCTACCAGGCAGAGTATTTGAGCAGAAAACTTAAGTAACTTCAGCTGGTGCCACTGAGCAAGTTGAATAGTTTCCTTGCCCTCATTTTGGATATTTTTGTGCCTCTCCTGCTGAGCTGCTGTGATAACTCTGTGCTGGAGAGTATTCAAGCTGCTTTCCCCTGGGTACGAGTCCAAGGATGCAGTATTTTGCAGGAGTGTGATATTCACTGTATATTCGACTGTATAAATGGTGCAAAGACTATAAACACTGAAGAGATTCATATTTTACTGCATGGTTTGTTTACTGGCTCTGGACCACAACCTGTATATGCAGCTGTGGTGCTTTCCTTTGCCAGATCCTGACACAGAGCTAGACCTCCTAAGTCTTGTTGAACCCAGTTTGGTTCCATACTGATACCATGCTCCTGGAATCATAAAAGCAATGTAGAGACACTCTTGCTTCACTTTGCAGAGTCATCTCAGCGTGAGCTTTTTAACTCGTGTCAGAGTACTACTCTGAGGAGATATCTCAGCTGTTCAGAGCTAGCCTGAGTTTATCTTGGCCTGCCAGACTGCATCTAAGCTCACTCATTGGAGAGACCAGCATGTCTGCACTGCATCCCTCAACACATCCTGTAATATTTGCCTTCTCTCTTATCTAGTTTTCTCCCTCTCTATCTCCTTCTGTAATGAAGTGATTGTATCTTTTAACTTGCCCAGTGTTGTTCAACTGATGCTCTAAACAATATCGAGTAAAGGAACAAAGAACTTAAAAAATCTAAAGTCAAGTGTTTTGGAAAATGCATATGGCATGTTTGTGTGTTTCAGCTTCAAGAATGGTTCACTGATGAGAGAGAGGATCAGAGATAGCTGTGCTTCAGGCTCCTGGGATGAATTCTCCAAAGCCTTATCATCTACTGTTGCTGGAAACAATGGAAACTTGGGTATGAGCCTTAGCAGAGCTGGGAGTTGGGGGGTTTGCCTAGACATCTACTTGAGTGGGTGTTGTACCTGTTTTACTTGGGTCATGACAAAGGCCAAGAATGAAGTTAGCTAGAGCAAGGGAAATTCCTAATGTGTACTTAGAAATGGTCTGCTGACAACCTAAGTGTCATGATAGTGTTTTTCTTCAATATTCATTAAATAAGAAAATTTTATTTATGGAGCTCTTTTGGTCATTGAAAGGGTGTTAGTAGCATCTTCACTGTGGAATGTTTTAAACTAGTAATTTCTGAAGGATTTACTCTTCTGAAGACTCAAACCAAGTGAATTAAGTAGCTCCATGTTATTTCTTCCTCAGTCATTACTCTAGAATCTTGTTCATGCATGTGAACAAAGCAGTAGTGTCAAGGGATACCAAGATTTCCTACATTTTTCCCAGTGTATGTCACAGAGTCATTTCATCCCTGTTTTTACCCCATGTTATGCTAAGTGAATGAAATGAAACAAAATGATGATGATGATGAAAGTATTTAAAAAATATGGCTAAACCCATGGGTTTGAAGTTTTACATTATTTTTTTCCTACAGTTTAATATTTTGCAAGTCTAGTATATATAGCTCAAAAGTAAGTTATTGAAAGGTGAGAGCATGTGTAATCAAGATTAAAATTTAACCATTGCAGAGCAGGATTTGAAGTCATTACCATCATCCTAGGTGTGAGTTGATATGAGTACAGTTAATTTAAAAATTGTAGGCAGCAAAGTTTTAAAATGTAGGTATTTAAGCTATAGAAGACTTCACTCCTTAGGAAAGTGAATTTAAGACACAGCTTCATGACACTGTGAGATTAGATTTTTCATTTTTAGAAGCTCTGTTATTTGTCTGTCAAATCTAGTCTCTGTGGGGTATTAAAATGACCAGGAATCTCTTTTCACTAGAAGACAAATCAATTCAGGTGTTTTAGAAAATGGGAAGAAATTATTCTAAATCCCCAAAGTCAGCCACTTTAGACAATATTAAAAAAATTGGAAGTTAATGAAAATATTGTTACTGATATCAAGGATACCAGGACAGTGCCTTAAAATTTTAAAATTTGTATTATAGTATATTCACTTGGATATCTCAATCCTCTATAAAATGGGTGCTTCATGGGAGTCATCCTCAATAACCTGTATGCTAGATTAGCCTCTGGGTGTACATGTTAAATTGCAGTAATCTCCATAATCTGAGTGTCTGGGGGAAGCAGAGCAAAGGTGGAACTGGTTAGGCATCTCCTCTTTTATCCCCTGTTTCCTGCACTCCCTGTTGTGTGAGAAGATGCCTCTGCAGAGGTTTCGAGGTCAGAACTGAAGTGTTGGGATATACATCCCTTGCCAGGGCCTGCAGATCTGTAACACAAAGTGTTGCTTACTGGCAAGTTTCAGAATGTTTAACCAAACAGGTTGTGTGTGCTAAGGCACAGTATTATTTTTGGTGGTTTTTTTTGGCTAATAATCATAGGGCTCCTAGGGCAGCATAGTCTTGTTCCAAGGTCTGAACCTTAGAAACTCTTCTTAATTCCTTAGCTATTCTGTTCAGTTTTTCTGTCCTCATTTTTTTGGTCTCCTTTCTTGAATAACTTTTCTGACCAACCCTTTTTGCCATCAACACAAAAGAAATCTTTTTCACACTTTTTGTCTAGCTGTCTACAAAGCATTGCTGCATTTCTTCAGATCTCATCCAAACTATTCAGAGACCAGCTCTGCTTTGTGACTTAAAATATCTGATGTTCTCTAATAAGCTCATGAAATCTAATCCAGTGTGTGAAGTGTCCCAATATTCCTGCACTCTTCTTACCAACTTGGCATTTTTTTCTTTGTTTTTCTGAAGCTATTTCTAGCATGTGTTACGGATGATCTGCTTTACTGTGTGTGTTTTGGTGGATGTGTCCTCTTCTGTGGGCTTGTTGTTTATTACATTGTTTGGATGCCTAGAGCCAGATGAGCTTGAGATGCACATTTCATAAACTGAAAGAATCATAGAATCAGAATATCCTGAGTTGGATGACCCACAGGGATCACTGAAGTCCAACTCCTGGCTCTGCACAGGACAGTCCCAAGAATTCTCATGTGCCTGAGAGAATTGTTAAGTGAAATTTGATAAATGCATGGATTGAATTAGTTAAGAAACAGGCCGTGTGGTGACTCAAATACTCAAATATATGATGAACATTTATTAACTTTTTAGCTGTGTGCTAAAATAAGATTCCAACTTTGGGTTGGAAGCAAACATGACACTCTTTAATGTTCCTTGATGCAGGTTTCTACTTTGATGTGATGGAAATTACTCCTGAAGCAGTTGGGATTCACAGATTCAACAGAGACAACCAAAAGGTAGTAATAAAAATAGTTAATGTCTCAAACCTTGAAGGAGTCCTGTCAAGACTTCAAATCTTTGCCATTTTAGTTTTTCTTCTGTATGAGTACTTTTCTTCTGTACTTGCTTTCCAGTTTCATTTACTGATGCAAGTCCCTGGGATGATTTTCATAAGGAAGTATTTGGTCTGTAGCTTAAGAGTATCTACAGTGCAATGTCTGAACTAGAACTTATATGGAATTTTTTAATGACATATTTTTTACTGGAAAACATGGATTTACTGAAAGCGACACTGGTTTTGAAACAAGATTAGCTTTAAGCTTATTGAGAGTTTAGCACACGTCCTTGACTTAGACCTCATTTCCTAAGTTTCAGACACACAGATAAGGATGTGTTGAAACTCTGGGCTGTAATACTTTATCTTGCTGTAAACGTGTATGTACACTAAAGACCGCATTTTGCTGTCCTGTCTGTCTTGGAGTAACCTCCAAGCTACATAGTGGTATGTAAGTAAACAGACTCAAGTCCAAGTGAAATTAAAGAATAAAATAGAAATTAAGTTATGGAAAGTTTTGTGTATCTTTTTTCTTTTCTTTCTTTTGGGGAGTGGATGTTGTTTAAATGTCTGTCTTTCTGGGTGGTACTGAAACTCAAGAGATGTCTTTGATCAATCATGACTCCCAGTCGATTAGACCTCACGTGGGTGAACAGAGATTGATACTATCTTGTGTTTGCAGTGTAGCACTAGTCTCTTAAGTGTTTGCTGTTAAATGAATGCTTAATCACTTCTAGCTGTTATACAAGTGTAGGCACTTACTGTAGTGCATGGAAGAACTCAACTTCTTGTGAAAGATTCTCTATATTTGTTCACAGTTCAATATTTTCCTGCTTCTGTTACCTTTCTCGTGTTCTGCTTGATGAAAGGACAGAAAAATGTTCTATATAGAAACTAAACAAATTAATGAAAAGATTACATGGTTTCACTTTTGTGCAGACAGAAACAGATTGAAACTTTTGTGACATTGCTTAATGCATCTGAATTTTATCTACTTGCTTTAATTTTGTATTTTTGAGATATTGATTCTTGAGCAGCCCTTGGTGCTGGGAAATGCACAGAGAAGAGTTTACAACTTGCTGTAGAACCTCTTCCCGTTATGCATCGATTTCAAGCTTGATGGATTTGCCAACAGCACTGAGGTTAGGGGTTGTGTTCTCTGTCATGAGTCTTTGGGTCCATCTTGTGTATGTGAGTGAAGAATTGGGCCTAGATGAAAGCAGACTTCAGTCTGAAGACAAGGATAATCAACTCTAAATCTGCCTTGAGTTTTTAACCTCTCTCCAGCTTGGTGTTGTACACTGTGTAAGGTGCTTGTTAACTTAATGCATTCCCTCTTTGATACAGGTTTCAGCCTTTCCAAAGGAAGTGGAAATACGAGCTTTGATTGAAGGGCAGTTCATGGCCAAAAGAATTCATGCTGAAAAGCTGGGATATAAAGTCTGTAAGTATGATAAGCAGCTGCAGAACTAATGGCACTAGAGATCAAGCACAAAGGTAGGAGTCCTGGCAGTAATGCCAGTGTTGTGGTTCTTGTCCTGCCTGATAGATACAGAAACTGGTATCAATTCTGAATTAGTCTCTTGGAAAAGTTATTGATGGTGTGTTGGGTGCAAGTTTTTGCAGATGTTAACTTAAGCAGGACTAGTGGTTTAAGATGACTTCTTATTCAAGTATTCTTGCTGTTGCATTGTTTCTGAGCTGCATTGTCAATTTTTAAATAAGAGTTTGGGCTTCAATAGCTTGTTAAGTGAAAAGAAGACCAGCCTTCTGCCTAAAGCACAGGACTGTAACTCAGAAAATCTGAAATCTATGTTCAGTTCCTGGATCTGCCATGAGCTGGTCGCTTACTTTTTAACCTCTGTTTTCTGTTAATAAAGCAGGAACCGTTTCCCTGTCTTGTGTTTTAGAAAGCAAGAGAACCTGCTTCCTCGAATTTATGAGATTAAGAGTTTTTAGCACATTGGCACAACAAAATCAGCCAGTATTTTACCTGTAGAAGTGGGATCAGATCATTACTAGATGTACAATTCTACACAAAGAATACAGGCAAGTCAGTAAGATGTTTTATTGGCATTTTCTCTCAGTGTATCAGCCAGTGGCATCTTAAAAAATACTGAATTAACTCATCTCAAGGGTTTTTAATCAATGTTTTGTTTTAAAAAATAATATTATTTTTATTTACATCCTGACCTCCTCCTTCACAAGCCACTGCTTGTCTCCTATCTCCAGGCTTTTATCAATAATCATGAAGGATAGAATTTTTTATTGTTTATTTTTAAGAGAGAACTCCAGGAGCTGAAAGTTGAGAAAATATAGAGATACTGGAACAAATCACAAGGCTTGACAACACCACCTCATAAATTTACTCTGTAAAGGTTTTCCTGGTATATATTTTCTTATATACTTGAAACTGTATTTATTTGGGGAGGTTATTTATGGAGACAGGCAGAGTTTCAAATAGATTGTGTTTAAAATACCTGTTTATCCTTCATTCTTAGATTCTGCTGCACCAAAAGCTAGGCTTATATAGCCTAGAAAACTCATGGCTGAAGAGGGCACTTTTGCACTCTGTGTCAGGAGTTAGACAAACACCAATGTGTGAGAAGAGCTTTGTAAGATAACAGACAACTCTGACACAGAAATAAATGGGGAGAAAATACCTGTAGCTTAATAAGTTTTAAAACCTCTTCATTAATAATTTTTTTAAATGCTGTGGACGCCTATAATAAAAAGGAGATGGGTGTGATTGGACTGTGTTCCTGTAGATTCCTTGGAATATTGTATGCTTTTGTTTTCTTGCATCCCTAGGGTCTTTCAGCTATTTGGTAACTTAACAGATGAGCTGCTTTAAAAAAGAACTGCTGTACATAGTGTAGGCTGTGTGCATCTCCCACTTTTCCTTAGTGGTATTATTTAAGTGTCATACTCTGTTATTTGTGTGGTGGTGGCAGGCTTACATCTGCATTTGTTGTGTGACAGCTCTGAAAACAGGGTGTGTTCTGAATGTGTTTCAGGGGACAGATGAGCATTGTGGGAATTACTCTGGCATTGCCAGACTTTCTGTTGTTTAATAGCTGCTGTTTTTCAGGCTGCCTTTTTTTCCCCCCCTTTGCTTTAAATGTGATTTAAAAGCTTATTTATTTTTTGGATGAAATATACAGTCAGGACCCTTGCGTTTATTCAATTCCTTTTAGGCCTTGTCTACATGGGGAATTTGCTTTGATATTTCCAGGAATCAAGCTGATTTACATTCAGAAATATAATCACAGCAGTGTAAATCTTGGCTTTTTTGTTGCTGTTGTTTACACCAATGGGAGAATACAGTAATAACTGCTCACAAGGTCTGGAAAGTTATATGAAGACACTATTAAATCGATCTGTAACAGAATTGTACGTGACATGGGCAGTCACAAGAAAATGCCTTGCTGGGGTGCCCTGGGGATTGTGTGGTGCCATCTCAGTGGTGCATATGAGTCAGAAACCTGGCTAAGAATTTCCCTAGCTCTGGCACCAAGGTGCTGGAAAATGATTTTGGCAGTCATGAACCTGCCTCTCTGTTCTTGGGCCAGATGCAGTTTGGATGACTGTAATCTGTAAAGCAACAGGAAACGTGAAAGAGAATTTTGTAAAAATAAATAAATAAACCCCTGCCATATAGAGTTCTTGGTTATGCACTGTGAACACAACAAACATTAGATAATCCCTTAGAATTTGCTTTCAGTTAATGAATATATTATCTTTCTAGGAGCAGTGTTTTGAATCCTCAGTCTAGCTGGTGCTGTGGGAAGAAGTGCAATGATGCTGGTAGAGTGCTTGGTATGTGAGGTTTTGTTCCCAGTTGGATGTGTCCAGTACATTATAGATCTTACATAAATTGCAAATAATAGTTTAAAATAACTCCTTTAAGACAGCTCTTCAGGTGCTGTTTGTGCTGCCTGCAGGCATGTGCTAAGGTTTGTGTGGCTCTGGTGCCAGTAGAGGGCAGGGGATTCTGTCTCATGAATTTTGTCTTTGAGGCTGGGACGTGTGTGTCCACCTTGTTTTGAAAACGGCAGAGAGTCACCAGATGATCCTTAGGAGAAAGGTTAAACCTTACATTAATTGTGATTTAAGGGTTTTGAAAGTGTGTGTCACTCTGCTCTAATTGCTCTAATCTTTCTCAATCAGATTTCAGGGGAAATCATTCAGTAACACCCTGTATCCTGTTTTGCTTATGTGCTTAAGGGGTGGATGGAGTGTTGAGTCTAGAAACAAACAAGTGAAGCTTGGTCTGTCCCTGTTGTTTACATCCTCCCATTCAGAGATTCATGCAGATAAGGTGAAGGTTTGCTGCTCTGCCTTTATTTTCCTGCATTTTGACTGTATCATAAACACCTTCTGTTTTGTCACTTCCTTTCACTGCCTGCAGCCATCCCGTTTTGAAAGCCAAGCTCACAACTGGAATGCAGAGGCTGGACATACAGACATGCTTGCTGCATTGTTTGGGGACTCTCTGAAGTCAAAACCATGGTAACTTTGTAGAGAAATGTCAGTGTCTGCAGCTCAGTGACACAGGTGATCACAGCAGCTATAAAGCCCTCACTGATATAGACTGATCTGCCAGTATATACTTTAATAATCTTGATGATCACTTCAGAGCCATTTCTATTCCTGATCAAGCAATCCTAAAGTTCATCCTAAAGTTGACACTGGCTGGAGAATGTTGCAATGGCCCTGCTTGTACCTAGTGAAGCTCTCCTGGTGGAGACCCACAAAACTGATTATTTTTGGGAGAAAAATCTATCCCTCTGCCTGCTGATAGGTGAAGTAAATATTGCAGGGATGTATGTTATATATGCTGAAGGAAAACAGCATCACAGGTAGGGGTTTTGGTGTTGATCACATGTATAGTCAATAGGTATTTAAATGATGTTCTGGTTCACAGTGTAGAAACCTTCATGTCAGTGGTAATCTGAGCCCTAAATCTATACATACAGTATCAGGTGTATTCTAGAGTTCTGTTAAATAAGCTTTTGTGGGACTGCAGCAGCAATTAATAAGTCCTGCCTTATAGAAAGGATGGTTACCTGGGGTGGGGTCTGTGTTGAAGCTATTAGCTTTGGTCAGGGCTTTCTGCCTTCACATTGTTGTGCCTATCAATGAGTTTGTAGTACTCCAGTTGCCTGATGTGCTCTTCTGTCACATTTATACCTTTAGGAATCTGATTCTGCCACCTAACTGTCATCAGCAGGGGCAGATGGATAGAAAGTGCCACATTTTACAAGTACAGGCTTTGTTCATAAAACCCTCTGTCTGTGATTATTGTGTAATTTATAGTTTCTTCCATACATAAATCAATCACTTGCAAATAATGTTGGTGCCCTGAATTCTGCTGACTGTACTTGGTGCTTAAGTACTGGCTGGGGTGGCACAGAAATGCCTGTGGTTTTGCACTACTCTAAGAATGAACCCATTTTTTTCAATGAGGTGCATTCTTAAGCAAAGCAGCAGTCCTGCAGTGCTAGGAGAAAAAGAGAAATGCCAGAGCATGCTGGGCCTAATTTCTGAAGAACTCAGTGTAAGAATACATGAGGACAAATCCCAATGTGAAAAATTTCCTTTTTCTTCAGGTGCTGTTGTCTTCTGATGCTCTTTTCAGCAGGTTGAAGGTAGCAGTAATGTATCACTTTGTCCTCAGGGAAGGCAGTCTGAGTGCAAGTAGCTCAGAAAAGAGAATCATAGAACCATTAAGGTTGGAAAAGATCTCCAAGGTCATCAAGTCCAACCTTTGACCTAATGCCACTATGCCCACTAAACCACGTTGCGAAGTGCCGTGTCTACTTGTGTTTTGAATACTTTTCAGGGATGGTGACTCCAGCACTTCCCTGAGGAACCTGCTCCAAAATACAGATAGTACAACATGGAGTGGTTGTGTTTTCATTGCTCATGTTGTGACATGGAGGCACAGAAACCCAAACACAAGGTGTGAGACTGTCACTTCACAGCAAAGAGTTGGTTCATTGGTGGATGAAGTGGCTCTCCTGCCACTGGTCCTTGGGTTGTTCCAGGGATGCCTTTGTGTCAGGCTGTGAGAGGTTTTTCTGCTAGTGGTTGTCTGTGGCTGACTGGCTTCTGTGACTATAGTCTCCAAAACTCTTACAAATTATCAGGGATGTTGGGATACTTGTTCCATCAGTCACCTTTGCTTTCACTGCTAAGTGTATTTCTACTCCAGTTGTAGCAGTGTTTTGGCTGAAACGAGGAACACTGGGAGTGAGGCCATTTTGTAGTTGCATACAGATTAAATTGATGTTTATGCCCTGTGGGATTTAAATTTCTTAGAGAAATCAATACTAAAATGTTGTGTTGGCTTCGTGCTTGTCTCTTGCTGTTTGCTGCTAAGAGTGCTGATGGTGTTTCAGCAACGCGAGGGCGACAGCTTTGTTCGAGGCCTTTTGCTTC